GTCCGGATCGCCGCGCTTCCACCACGCAACTCGCCGCGTGCGAGCCAGAAGTCCCGCACCCGTGTTCGTGGTAGTCCATCTGATCTACGTCGTCTGACTCTGGCCGTTCGGCAGAAAGAAGGTTGAAGAGTGCAGCCCCAGTGAGAGTCGCATAGATACGGAAACCAATGGGAAAGGAAAAGGTTCCGTACCTCGAGTTCTGGGCCGTTTCTCATAGTAATTTTTCATCCTTGCACCAGCTTCACTAGCTTGACTTCTAATAGGCTACCTTTCATGAAAACCTCCGTCTTCGCTATCCATGCGACAATAAACCCACTCGAAGTAATAACTATATTTATCTCTGCTGTACAGTAACAACGAAGAAAGTAACAATAACAATTTTCTAAAAGTAGACCTAAAGCTTGGGAACAACAAAAGCGTCTAATAGCACCTACAATGGTTATCAAACTGTGCAACAATCCCCTTCAGAGTGAATAAGTCACTGTAAATTGAGCATAGGAAATTGGAATAACATAGGCAACTCAACCCAAAAAAAGAAGATCATGAAAATCTCGGTGTATACCAGCAACGTTTCAAAAATCTATAAACTTGACCTGAACTCCACGGGCACACGTTACTCAAGTGAAAAGGAGAAGATGCGCTCATAAAAATTCGGTGAGCAAATAATTCAACAATAGAAGTTAAAAAATGACTAGAACATGTAAAACTGAGCCAAACAATCAACTGAAAAAATATACCGAATCCTTAACTTGATTGATATCCAAATCACCTGCTTCAACTTGACAAGTGAACAGTTTTCTAAAGTGAGCAAGATCTTGCGGTGGCATCAATTCAATGTGTGGTCCGGTAAGATAGTGCGAATGAAACCAATCTGAGCACCTGAAAACAGCAATCTTCGCTACGTGCTCATTTTCGAGCCTGACAAAACCACGCCAGCACTTACTGTTGAACTATCGGCTCGCTGTGTAACCTGATGAACTGCTCACGACAAAGTTTGCCCATTTCGTCCACCGTACTGGCATGAGTCCAGAAACAATCGTGCACTGCCGCAAACGTCACACCTCTTCGAATAAAATTATAAATGAAATTATAGCAAAAAAGAATCTAATTAAAAATACCTTCGCGAGCATTCAAGAGATGTTAGCATCATATGACAAGAGTCCAGCGAATGCACCAAGTTTGGTGGAAAAGCGCCAACCTTAATGAATCAACAACTACAAACTGTCAACTTTTGTTAAAATGAGAACTTCCACTACTAATTCCTCTTTTTTTCTCAATGCAGCCGACTTCTCTACTTTTCCTTCAGCTCAAGGCTAAGAACAAGGCCTCTCCATGTCTCTCTTGTCTGTACAGCAGCAAAACAGCTCCCTATGAGGTTGATTCCATTCAAAAACACCGCAACCAAAATATTTTTGGGACATAGGTCTTCGTTCCTTATATATTAGACTGATGACAAGTTCCAAGCACGGTCAACCGTTCGTTGATACAAGTATCAGCGCGGTTTGAAAACAAGTGCTGTATTTGCGGAGGAGAAGGAGCAATTGGGGCTGGTAGAGGTCGAAGATCGAAATAGCAAGTAGTACTTTATGCAAGTTTCTAGAGGCTCGCAATAGAGAGCTTTAGATAATTGTGCAAGGACATCTTCATCTAGAAACAATATCTAGGTCTCATTGTCTTTGAACTACGCTCATATCCGATGACGGCGGCTTTTCAAGCTGGGATTCGTCTTTGTTTTCGCTATCTCAAAGCGCGCAGAGTGACGAAGTTAAGCGACTGCCGTCGTACACATGAAGTCACACTGTTATAGACGAAGACAGTAGAGTGGGCGCTGCAGCTGTGGCGTAATTTGTAGAAAATGTTGAGCACGGAGCCGGTCCTTCAACATCGGCGACATATTCGTCGACCAGTAAATGCTAGTATACAACCTCCGTTCTGACGTAATACCGACATAATTCGCCGAAAAAAAATCGCTCGACGGTATACTTACGCTTTCCGGGTGGATACCCTATGGGTTGTGCTAGGAGCTGATGGTGACCACAGTTTACGTAAGCGCGCAACTATACTCAGATTCGGTTCTCATGAACCACACCAAACCGTACCGTGGTTGACCTTTTACAAATTCTGCTTCTCATAACACCTTATGATGTGTATTCCACGAGTAACTGAATAAATAAACTTTTACGATTTCAAACAGAAATCCCACTTGCTTAGTCGACACAGAGTATGACTTTTTCCTTTCTTTTCTTTGCACACATAGGTTGTACAACTGGTGAGTCCAAAGGTGTCCCATTCCACAATGGTTTTGATGAGAGATCAGACACCCTTTGCACAGTCTCTGAAACTCACCTTACTCCTGAAATAATGCAAGAATAAGCCTGTCCTCAATCGCCCTGTAGAGGCTGCGTAAAAGGCATAGCAACATGCCGTAAAAAGGTGGCAGAGTTTGAGCAACGAGGGGGGGAATAAAAGTTCATAATCGTCTGTCAATGGAATAAAAGGTGGTTTTGGTGTGTGACACATGTAGATGGAAGTCGGTATAAACAACGACCGAGTGCAGAAGGAAATCGAGAAAAGCAATATATCAATAATAATAAAATATAAATAATAAATTACGATAATCAGGAAAATCCTTCTGCGATCTTTGACGGATGCGTTTCTAACTTCTAGTAGATGCTGCGCTTTGAAAACCAGAAAATGAAAAGGGCAGGAAGATCGCAACACTCGTAACGGAAAAATCAAAATTGCAACAAAAAATGCAACATAATACATACTTTAAAAGTAAGTGGAGTCACTGACAGCAAGAAAGGGAACAAGGAAGAGAAAGAGAGGAACATAGCCGTTAGAGACGAATGGTTGTGCACTAAATGTTCAACTATGACGATAACGACCTTCAAAATGAAGCACTTACATTGAACAAGTAAATGCATCGTGCAAGCTGGCGAAGGTTTTGTGGGTCAAATACTGTGCAAATTTAGCAGTCTGAAAGCACTAGTTAAACGGGGAAGGTAAATTCGAAACATTGAAAGATTAGGCTGACCTCTTCATTATCTATATCGAGAGCTTTCAACTGCCGTTTTATCTGAAGTGCAGCACCATACAAAGTCACTCCATAGACAGTTGTCATAACCGTTTGTTTAATAACCTAAATTACTCTTGCATTACTGCCATAGAGAATATTGAGAAACGAGTCAATTTCTTACCTTCCGCGGAACAGGTTGCGGCATGAACTTCCTCAGTCGTAAGGCGATTTCCATGTTTGGGCCACCTTTCTCGTCCTCAAGCCTCTTTTGCTCGACTCTAAAAGATCTCTTGATACTCTTCACGGAAAGCTTACCTCAAATGGCGTACATCTTATGGTACAGGTATATGCAGCTCTTACCTTTGTGCTACTGATGAGTAGACATCATTAGGCAATTCGCTTTTGAGCAAATTAACCTCTCTTCCTCCTTCTTCATCACGCCCTAGCGCTGCGTAAGTGCTGCAAGACCATTGCAGCTACCGTCTTGATGCACAGCCAAATGGCTACAATACATGGATTGAAGAAGAAACCATATGTAAAAAAAACCGCTAAACCTTATATTCTGTATGGGATCTATCCCAATCAAAAGGAAAACCTAGAAAATGGGGAAAGATCGAAATCTTGAAAAATTGGGAGATCCAGACCAGTGAGCTTACCTCACAAAATCCTCAGTCCTTCCTGGAAAGGCGAGCGCATCACGTATCTCCATACAAGCCGCCAACGTCTGCCAAGGCTCTTCGGACTGCAAGCCACCATCCTTTGCCTAAAATAGTTCACACGGTCGCGCACTTTCTCTAGCCGCCGGTCATCACCTGCTCCGCTACGAGCACATCAATGCAACTTTCGTTACATATCCATTCGAAAGCTAACCGTCGAGAGGATGAGTCGCTCGATCGGCACCAGCTCGTCCAATTGTGATCGGCGGCTATGAGACGATCTGATGGCTACTCTCTTCAATTTTTACGCCCGTGAGATTTATGCTAGTGCAGTTTCAACGTCAAAAGTAGTCCTCGATCACTTCTCTTAGGCGACGCCCTACAATAATAATTTTTAAAAAAAACTGACCAGACTGCCATATGTCTTTGATTGTTTAATCTTGCTGTTTTTGTGGCGCATTCCCCCCTTCAAAGCTTGCAGTCAATGTGGATGTGAAACCAAAATTCTGTTAGGAGTTTGAAACTCGGTGACCTACGGGAGCAGAGCCCTTTTGGGGTACTCGACAGGAGGACCGTCGCGCGGCTTAAAGGCAGAGTCATTGTACGAATCGCGGCGCGGACTGTAGTGACTTCGCGTCAAGTCAAATAGAATGTACCAGTGTACGTCCTACATCGCCCAGTAATGCGCTGCGACCCGTTCATTAACTCTGCCTATTATGGCGCGACGGTCCTCTTGTCGGACACCCCCATATTGGTGGCCCGGTAGCGTAACTTCACTGCCTGGTAAGCGAGGATCTGTTCAGTCCCACTTCGGTGCGAATTTTTGTCACAATCCAACCATTCTTGTTAAATATAAATAAGTTCATTTTGTCGCTCGAGAGCGTTTATTATCCAAATAAAATCTGGCCTATTAGGCACTTCTAACACGAGCTCGTACCTTTAGCAAATTTCAAAATACATCTATTGACGTCGTCACCCATATGACTCAGGTACGGTGATATAGGATAGACCCGTCCACTCGAAGTCCAGTTGTGAAAGAAGAGTGTCTGGCCGCGAAAATGTCGTGCCAATACTATGCGATACTTCATCCAACACCATAGGGAATTGAGTTCGTTCCTAAACAGTGCACAACAAGATCTGGAGAAACTACATTGTGCTGGACAAAATTATTAACTACTCCTTATACTATGAGGTGGAATTGGTGAAGTGGCAAGTGACGCTGCTTACCACGCGCAAGTCCGGAGATCAAATCATGGCTTCACACAGTTCAAAAGGGAGGGGACCATTGAAGCATGAAAATGCCAGATAGGGCAGGTTTGCTTATTACTACCTTACGGGAAAGGTGACTCGTTGTACTTTCACACCCATCAACGTATCTACAGTCGATGGGTTCGTTTATTCATTTCTCTTCCCCCTAAATCTTCAAATTGGAAGTGCAAGTCATAGTGAAAGCTCCCTTCCAAGCATATAGCATGCGCAACACTTATTCAGGTTCTTACTACTTTTTTTTGCAAAATGGTAAAGTTTCCTCGTTAATGAGATGAAATACCATGAAAAAGAATTTGTCGGATGTCCTACCTCTCTGATGGCCTCCGCTTCCTCTGCTTGACTCCCGCGACCTCTTCTATCAATACATCTGTGCGAACTTCACTCAACCAAGAAACTCCTGATAAGAAACAAATCAGTGAACTAATGGTTAATTGATATTCAAAGTCATCATCACGGCATATATTTCTCTTAAAAAAACAGCACGCCATGTTCTCACCGATATTCAGGAACCTCAACAGTGTCTGATCGGAGGGGTACAGCCAAAGTATCAAGCAATTCGGCTTTAGTTACATCGGATGACATTTCGAACACCTGAGGAAAAGAGAATTATAAATCGCAGAATAATACAAAGCTGATTCTTTATGGCAAAAAGTTATTTCTCAGAAAACAATCATCTGGCAAAGATGGGTTCCCAAAACTGGCTTCTTGCAGCACATACCCAGCCGAACAAAGAGAAAAGGACCCAACAAGAAGAGAAAAACAACACCATATCTGAAGTCTACTCACCTGACAAAGCACATCAAGCATAGGTTCATTAATTCGCCATGGAGTAGACCCTAACTGGTTGAGCGCGTCAAACACTGGACGTGCTTGCACCCTTAAACATATCAAAAAATTTACTCCGAAAAATTAAGAATATTGATTTCAGGTCTCTACCAAATCACTAATGAATACATACATAGTTTGAACGAAGAGAAAAAGTGTTATTTTGGTGAGAATATCTCACTTATAACGTCTTAAGTCTTTTTATGCAGACTGTTCTTTGCTGTTATCTGAAGCGTTGGAAAAACTGACCGTGATTTTAGGACGTTTCCGCATTTGAGCATTGACGTCAATTCTGTTTATATCCTGGCAAATTGCGCAGAATTAGCGTTCGCCGAGTATACTCCGGACCTCCTTGTCCGCCATCGCACCATGGTCTAGGCGGCACCTACAACAACCACGATTGCTTGGTGATCAATCATCCAACCTCATTTTTTTCCGCATACAACACTTGAAAGAGATTTTTAAAAAGATTTCAAGCAATTACAGAAGCCTTGTACGGCTGACTCACGAATTTACCACAAAGCACAAAACTACTCGCATTTGTTCAAATATCAACTAATGTCTGAGTTTTAAAAACCATGCTTCACTACTACTGAATATCACTCCTCTGCTAAAATATTACTACCGTCTAATTATAGAATAGCCAACTGACGCTAGGCAGCGGTACGCTCAATTGAAAGCCGAAATATTGAAAATGTAAGAAATAGACTAAGTAAGACAAACGAACCGTCATGGGAAGCTGATGGGTAGGAAAAACGATGTAGTCGAATGGGTGCTCATCTAACAACGCTAAAAGTTTCGAGTTGATGGCCAGCATCTTCGAAAGCGTAACTCTTCCTTGTTCGAATACTCTTGACTCCTCTTCAATTGCTACGTTGCGTAACGAGAACGCGTCCAACATTTTACCTGAAACCCGTAAACTTTGAGCAGAAATCTGAACAGTAGAAATCAGATGTTATCACCGAACAACTCAAGCCTTTTACAGCTGATATTATATGAGGCATCTCAATGATAATAATTGGGGGGGGGGGGCGTGTGGGTGGAAGGTATGTTTAGGGGTAAACGAAAGGAACGAAGGTCGAAAATTAGGAATGGATAAGATGAACCCTTCTCATATGAGCAGCCCACTGGAGGTGTAAACAATAGGTTGAAAAGGGCAAAATGAACCCCACCCATATAAGCAGCTCCCGGTAGAGCAATAAATGAGTAAGTCAGTCAATAAATGAGTAGTTAAGCCGTCGTAACTGTAATGAAGATTGAGTGGGTAAAACATGTAACATTACTGGTTCCCTTATTGCCTCCTGTTGGGAACTTGCAAGCGTGATTCCGTATGAAGGTCTTCGAACGGAATCTAAATCTCTTCAGAGAATTGGCTCAGCAGCGAAAATCAACAAGAAACTTCCTACTTGATAAGATGGATGGACACCATTCCGACGGCAAGCATTTGATCCACCACTCTCTGTGGGTATGCAGACGAGCAATCTCATCATCATCAAACAGAGTCACGTAATCGTCGAACACAGAAGACCACATCTAAACAATTCTGACCTACTGGGAGGTCTTTCGTAATTCCTATGCCCATGCTAGAAGTACAACTAACTTTTGCCTCGTCTATCCCGATCTTCTCTACGAATTTGGCTTGCACAGCACGCACAATCGGTGTTACGAGGTCATATTCAAAGACGCCGATCGGGACCAGGTTCTGCCCCTGAGAGCAAACCGCTTTCAAAGACTCCATCACCATCCCGGCCAACTCATCGATTGTAATAACTTTGAGAAACAGCCTCACTGGAAAAGAGGCAACAGATTCATCGATAAAGTTCAAACATACCAAACTTCTAAGCTAAAACGATTCAAAATAAGCTCTACTTACACGGATTCTGGGGTCGATCGTCAAGTAATCGTTCTATCGTCTTACGAATTTCGCTCAACCAATTCCATGATTCCAGTAAACGCTCAGCAGGGATCTCCGAGCCCTACAAAACAAAGATTGGCTAAGAAATCACCATGAGCTCCAAAAAAGTTTTACCTTCGCAGTTCCCGTGTAATTTTCCACATACAACCATGGGATTTCTCAACGGCAATATGTCCCGGAAATTTCTTCATATAGCTCTCCTAAAACAAAACGCGATTCTAACAACAAAGATATCGATGCACACGACATTCCACGAAACTCATTGAATTTTTGACCACTCCCTTACTCATTACCAATTGTTACTCATGCTTTACCGAATAAGTAAGAAAACAAACGAAATAGAAAATTAGGCACTAAACAAAGAGGAATGGGCAATAAAAATAGATGCAAAGAAGAAACTTGTACAATTAAAAAAGTTACAATGAACAAGCAAAGCAGATTCTGAAGAAACGCACCTTTGCAACATCATCTAGCTGATATTGGTTACCATGATATGACTCTTTAGGTACCGGCTCTCGTAAGTGATCTAGGAGCGTCGTATTCTAAGCAAATGAAACTATGCTTCGAAAACAACCTACATACTAGCAACTACAAATTGTGATAGTCACCTTGTCGTAAGTGGTGTCGTCATGTAACAATTTCTTTCTACCACTATCCGCATCCAGTTCAGCAAGAAGATATGACAGTTGTTCTCGTTCAGAATGGGAAAGGAATAGTTGGGAATTTTCATCAGTGTATACGGTTCACCAAGTCCCCATTGCGATAGAAATTATGGAAAAATAAATGAAAAAGGTAGGAAAGCTTCACTCTCACCAATTTCTTCAGCCGTCTCTCAAAATTCGCCAAAATTTGGTCAATTTCATCGGAAGATTCGTCTGAAGCTCGTGCTTGAGCCCACGGTCAAACGTATATCCAAGAAAACTTGATATATTCGCATATCATTCCATAAAAACCTTAGTCAAAATTGCCTACAAATAGCTCGCTTTGGCAATACATTATAATCCATGAAAACCAATGACTGAGTATATGAAAGGTTCAAAGACTCACCGAAAAGAAAAACGGGTTGACAACATTTCCGGTGAGTTGAGTATTTGCTCGTCTTTCAAGGCGTGTTCAAGAACCTTTTGCAGAACCGTGAAAGCAAATGAGATGAACTAAACAAATCTCAGTGAGTTATTTCACGAATAGTTGATGGAATGCTGACATGAGAAAGTTGCTCTGAAAACTTCATGTAAAAAGGAACTTTCACTCTCCTTTCTGAGCTTTTAAAGCAAACGCTTGCGGATTCAGAAATTGACTTTTTGTCTTGTTCGACATACATCAACAAATTACCAGATTATGAGTATCAACCTCATTTCATTACGACTCCAGGAACTAGCCACATACTGACGCCAGTTCAAATGGATTCAGGACCGTTGCCACGAAAAACCTTATTATGATGACTCAATCGAAAATGATTAACACGAAAAGGATAGAATTGCTCCCGTAATGGTCCCTATCCTTCATTTTTGTACTTTTATTGAGCCTTCAAGAATTTTACGAATTCATGCAGCCTTGCAGACTATAATTTCTCACAAGCACAACCTTTACTATTGAATAAACCTGAACAATTTCTTTTCCACACCTGATCATCCTCTTCGCTCAGTCGGCCTCTCGACTTTATGAGCCGTGCCCTTTGATGTACCACGGAAATCATGGATGGCAAGTCTTCCGCAATTGCATACCTGAAAGGCCCAATCACTTGTCTTTCAATTTATAAAGCAATCCATCACGGCACATCCTAAAATGAAGACCGCATCTTATGTGCGCATATGGTTATATGCAGTGTAACGTAAAAAAGGAAGCGTTTGATGAGATAAGAAGCGAAATTTATCGACATACAGCTGGTATAGCTTTTCATACAACCACGAACAAAAGCGACGATGGAAAGATCAGTGTTGACCAACCCGTTTTCTGACTATGCCATGCATTCTGCTTCCATTCAAAATCCCAGTAGTACTTTCAATGCGTCTGTTCTATGCAAAAAGTGCCTGGACCA